TAATACTACAATTGACTGAGGCATAACAGGAATGTAACCAATCTATGCCTAGAATAATATCGAAATCTACCAGTTCTAACTCTACAAGATTGAATGAGGTGACTTTTTGATAGACTGTGATAGGGCAATTTCTGTATACTCGTCTAGCTTTAACTGGTCATCAACTAGAGTATAGACTGAGAAGAGTTCTAAAAGAGTTTTGGGACTGATGATGAGTTCGAGATTTGGACTCATTTAGGGCTTTGTTTGTATAGATTTAAGGCCCTCAAATGCTCCATTTATGCTAACAACTGATGTAAACCCTTGATTTTCATATATATGGGTCGAGGAACGGAGCTAGGACAGAAATGGTCAACAACGACAATGCAAGTTGAAAAAGAGAAGAGGAAAAACAAGCCTGATGGCTGCCGAGATCACTCGGTGAATCGCCAAGTTGCTCCTCTATCGCCTAAATTTACAAAACTCTGAGATTGTATTAGGAGTAACTTCGGCGAGAAGTAGTTCCACTCGGCGTGTCGCCGATCGCGTCGGCGAAGGATGACCTCGTCACCAAAAGTACTGATGAAGATCCAAGTAAGTGTTGATAGGTAAGTTAAAAGGGCAAAAAGGTGCATCACGGAATGAAACGGCGATCCTAATCTGGCTCGCCTAAAATACAGTGGTTAAACTAAGAAGATGTGAAGAATGAAGGCGAGATGAAGGTCGATCAACGAGTCACTGAACAGTCGACGAAGCCCGACTATCCTCACTGATTGGTCTGAAAAGGCCACACATCAAACTTGTATAAATTGATTTTTGCAAGAGAGAGAAAGTATTCAGAAATTGTGAGGAAGAAAAGATAGAGAGCAAACACATTACTATCGTTGATTTTAAGTGACTTTAGCAAGTTTTTTCATTTTGGTTTTGTATTAGAGAATATATTATTCAATTTTGACTTTCGAATTTCATTTACCCAACTATGGAAACCATGGCAGGTATTGAATTTCATCTTTTTGCTATGATTGGCTAAAACCCTAACCTTGGGGTTTGACAATGTGACAAATTGTTGCATTTGACTAAATGGGTGACATCAATTAGCAAATTTTGGTGTTAATTTGAAGTGGGTTTAAATATTTTATTATTGTGGTTTAACTTCATTATTCCATGTTTAGTGCAATATAGTTCAGAGTTTTGTGCTTGCTCAAGAGAGAAGTATAGAGCCAACGTAGTAATTTGGCATCCTTAGTAGTGGGTCATTACGGTTTCAGCTTGAGAAAGTAAAACATGAGATTCAGCCTTTGTATCTAGCTCAAAAGAGTAGATTTGATGAGAAAGTGGACTAGGCGTCTTATGGATCGTGTTTAAGTTCGAGAGAATTCAACGGAAATAAGGTAATTGTTCGAGAGAAAATTGCTTTACTTATAATTCATTCTACCCACAACGAATTAATATTGTTGGTAATGATGTACACCCATTAAGTTAAATTCGACAATTGGTTAGTCAACTCCCCAAGTGTTATCTCATTATTTGATTGTTCCTTGCTGATTGTTGAAGTGAGTTGGTAATGACATATTGAAGTTTGACTTATAAAATTGTTAAGTGTGGTGATTGTTTCGACTGTAAAGGTCTTGGTCATATTTTCATATTCAGATTCAAAGAAAGCTACTCTCTGTGGGATCAACCTCAACTCATTCAGTTGGGTTTATACTAATTTACGATCGTCGACACTAAGAATCGGATGAAATGTCTTTGAAACGTTAATCAAAATGACGCCGCTACCGGGTGTAGCATTTTTTAGAGTTCTTTTATCAAAGATTTGACTTGTGAATTTGTCGGTTGTAGTTGAATCGATTTAGACTGCATTGTGGTAGTGTTGGTTGGACTGAATAAAAGTAAAATTGAGTGAGGAAGAGGTGAATGGTAGCCTAGCAGGCCCCCGAGATGGTATCTAGGATGTCAATAGTGCATACAACCCAACCCAATCGAGTGAAATGGGTGCAATTTGCCTAACATCAGTTGATGAGAATGTAACATTTTAGGTTATGAGCACTACTTTTCATCTCCTCCAAATAAAGGGACTTTATGGTGGGTTAGCTCTTGAAGATCCACATGATCATGTGAGGAATTTTATAGATCTAAGCAACCTATTTTCATTCAAGAACGTGCCACTCGAATCAATCTGGCTTAGATTATTTCCTCTATCTCTGAAGGGGGAGGCTAGCATGTGGTTGGCCGAGCTACCAAAGAATTCTATCACGTCATGGGATGAGCTTATCACGACATTTAACGACGATGATAAAGTAACGTTAATGTTTATAAGTCAATGAAACACCCAAGCGATATTCACGTGGTTTCTACTGTTGATGTTATTGATGAGGCGGTGGCTAGTGTGAGCCATTTGATGTGTATGAGTGAACCACTTGAGGCCGTTCTTGCGAACTATGATGAGTTTGAAATTCAAGTCTACAAAGAGGTAGTAGTTGCTCTTTCAGGTATGAGGGAATATTCAAAGACCCCATTGAAGTTGGACATTGATCTAAAAATTTGAGAAAGTCCTCCCGCAAAGCCATCAATAGAAGAACCACCGAATCTGGAATTGAAAGTACTTCCCTCCCATCTCCGATATGCTTTCTTAGGGGCAAATAAAACCTTATTGGTAATCATTGCAACTGACTTGCTTGAATGGCAGGTAAAATTGCTCATTGAGATGTTGAAAAGGCATATAAAATCTATAGATTGGACTATTGCTGACATAGTGGGAATTCCCCCCAGCATTTGCACTCACAACATTCAGCTTGATAGTGATTGTAAACCGAGGGTTGAACATCAGTAGAGATCGAATCCACCGATGCAAGAGGTGGTGAAAAAGGAGATAATAAAGTGGTTGGATTCAGGTGTGATCTACCCTATTGCAGATAGAAAATGGGTAAGTCCGGTGCAATATGTACCGAAAAAAGGGGCATCACAGTAGTCCCAAATGAAAAGGGGGAGCTTGTATCCATGAGACCGGTGACCGGATGGTGAGTATGCATAGATTACCGGAAGCTAAACTTTTGGACCGAAAAAGATCACTTCTTCATGCCTTTCATGGATCAAATGCTTGATCGACTTTCAGAGAGAGGTTGGTAATGCTTCTTGGATGCATACTCTGGTTATAACCAAATCTCCATTGCTCTGGAAGACCAAGAGAAAACCACATTCACCTGTTCATATGGAACTTTTGCCTTCAAACGGATGTCGTTCAGGTTATGTAATGCTCCGGCAACATTTCAACGTTGCATGCTTTCTATTTTTGCTGATATGGTGGAGGATTCAATGGAAGTCTTTATGGATGACTTCTCGGTTGTGGGTGACACTTTTGAAGCATGTTTGGCACACTTGGGACAAGTTCTCCAAAGATGTGTGGAGACAAATTTGGTCCTAAACTAGGAAAAATGTCACTTCATGGTTAGGGAAGGTATAGTTCTTGGTCACAAAGTGTCGCAATAAGGGCTGGAGGTTGATAAAGCAAAGATTAAAGTGATTGAGAAGCTACCACTACCAATATCGGTGAAGGGGATTTGTAGTTTCTTGAGGCATGCTGATTTTTACCGGAGATTCATCAAAGACTTCTCAAAAATTGCACATCCTCTATGCAAACTTTTCGAGAAGGAGGTGAAATTCCACTTTGATGATGCTTGCATGGTGAGCTTCAAGTGCTTGAAAGAAATATTGGTCTCCACCCCGGTTATCATTAGTCCCAATTGGTCAGAACCATTCGAAGTGATGTGTGATGCAAGCGGCATGGCATTAGGTGTCGTACTGGGGCAAAAATGCAACAAACTATTCCACCCCATTTACATGCAAGCAAAACTCTAAAAAGTGCTCAACGTAAATATATAGTTACAGAACAAGAATTGCTTGCGGTAGTATATGCGTTTGAGAAGTTTCGGGCATACTTGATAGGCACTAAAGTGGTTGTTCACACTGATCATGTTGCACTGCGTTATCTGATGGCAAAGAAGGATGCCAAGCCAAGATTGATAAGGTGGGTACTACTATTGCAAGAATTCGACTTTGAAGTCAAAGATAGGAAATGTTGTGAAAATTAGGTGGCTGATCACTTATCAAGATTGGAAGGCAAGGAAAATGACGAGCTGGAGATCGATATAAATGATGCCTTTCCCGATGAACAGGTATTCACGGTGACTCTCAAACAACCTCCTTCGTATGCTAATTTTTCCAATTACATAGTGTGTGGATTAATACCGGAAGAACTGAACTTCTACCAATAAAAGAGGTTCTTGTTCGATGTTAACAAGTATTTTTGGGATGAACCACATTTATTCAGAGAGTGTGCAGACCATATCATTAGGAGATGAGTTCTGGAGAAAGAAGCCATCGAAATTCTCCATGCTTGTCACGCTTCACCAGTTGGGGGTCATCATGGTGGCATATGTACAGCTACAAAAGTCCTTTAAAGTGGTTACTACTGGCCGTCCATCAACAAGGATGCTCATAAGTTTGTTAAGAAGTGCACTGAATGTCAGAAAAAAGGTGGAGTGTCTAAAAGGCACGAGTTGCCTCTCACACCCATTTTAGAAGTTGAGCTATTTGATGTCTGGGGAATAGATTTCATGGGTCCTTTTGTGAGTTCCTTTGGTAATAAGTATATTTTGGTGGTGGTAGATTATGTTTCTAAATGGGTGGAAGCTGTTGCACTTCCGAACAATGAAGGGAAAAGTGTTGTTCAATTTCTAAAATGCTACATCTTTGCTATATTTGGTACTCCTCAGGCTATTATTAGTGATTGGGGATCCCATTTTTGCAACAAGCATTTTGCATCCGCGTTGAGCAAGTATGGAGTGAAACAGAAAGTAGCAACTTTGTATCATCTCCAAACGAGTGGCCAAGTTAAAGTGTCAAACCGGGAGATCAAGAGTATCCTAGCCAAGACGGTGAATGAAAATAGGACTGATTGGTCTCGAAATCTTGATGATGTTTTTTAGGCATATTGCATTGTATACAAAACACCAATTGGAATGTCTCTGTATCAGCTAGTCTTCAGAAAATCTTGCAATTTACCGGTTGAATTGGAATACAAAGCATTATGTGCATTGAAAGCTCTAAATCTGGACTGGACAAAGACTTCAAAAGAGAGAGTAGATCAGCTAAATAAGTTGGACGAATTCAGGTTCAAGGCATATGAAAGTTCAACTCTTTACAAGAAAAAGATGAAGAAGTGGCATGATTCTAGAATCCTTAAAAGGGAGTTCAAAGTAGGAGATTGGGTTTTACTATATAATTCTCGACTCAGGCTCTTTTTGGGAAAATTCAAATCTAAATGGTCAGGTTCATTCGGAGTAACACGGGTATTGATAAATGGTGCCATTAAAGTCGAAGGTGAAGAGAGACTTGCATTCAAGGTGAATGGGCAACGCTTGAAGTTGTATTTCGGTGAATGCCAAGAGATTTCTCTGATTGAAATAGTGTATCTGGAAAATGCTTGAGAGCATTTCCACGTCATGCCACGACATTAAATAAGGCGCTTCTTGAGAGGCAACCCAAGTGTTAGTATTTCAAATAATGTACGCTGATTTTGCAGGTGCAAGAAATTACGCAAGGTGAAGACTCAATTGGTGGATCACCGAAGTTGTTCAGCGATCCCGACCTAGTCCGCCTTCTGGACTTTCAAAATGGAGCTGAGATACTGGAACATTAGGCGGGGAAACTTCATCACTCAGCGACTCATCGAAGTGATTGGGCGACCCAAATTTCTCCACCCTTTTTCCCTCGCTCTGATGGCCTGACCCAATGGATCATTCAGCGAGGTTGCAAGTCGATTAGGCGAAGCACCGACCGATTCACCAATTTCTTTCAACTCCACCTTTTCTCCCCTTCTTTAACGTATTGCATACTAGAAATAACTGTGATATCCAGATCATTGGGTGAATCTCTCGAGCATTTCGGTGACTTTTACAAGTTTTCGCCAAATGGGTGCCTAGTGAATATTCCTTGTCACCTTGCTTTGTGTGTTTACATATCAGTAGTTTATCTTTATTTTCCATTTTTGGTATTATCTATTCTCTACTCACATTGGGGAGAATGTTGAATGCTTTTGGTGGGGGTGTGTGTTTGGTCATGAGTCCCTTGCTCATTTGAAAAAAGTTATTAATTTGAGTATCAATCATGATCAATACCGATGACTTGAATAGTCCTCTTAATCGAACAAAAATGAATGTGCAGTTACAATGAGGCAAACTGAAGTTGCATAGACAATATGTGAACTTTTCGCATCTCGTTGTGACTAGCCGATTATCGAATGAGTCTCTTGTGATAAATATTGCACACTAGCAAAAGTGTGGAGTCTTGTTTGATATTAGGTCTAATACCTTGTGTGATGAGCTTACCGTGAACCTTGTGTGATGACACCTAGAATTTTCCCCTTGGTCCGATTGACTAAGTGATGCTAACTCTTGAAATGATCTTAGGCAACAACTTTGAAAAGTGAAACAATTTGACATTATACCTCTTTTGTTGCCTACCTTGTGAGTGTGTGAACTTGGCTTGAACACCCTTTGAGCCTTATCCTTTTCTTGGAAGAAACTTGATGGAATTGTAACCCCTCTATAACCATTCACCCATAATCCTCATGCAGTGTGGTTTGTTTAAATATACAACTTAGGCCAAAGGTCTAACTTGGGGGTGTGGTGAAAAGAGAAGGTAAATCAAGAAGTGCAAAGAAGTCCCCCTTGATCCATGGTTTTGAGAAAGATGGAACCCCTCCATACAAAAAAGTGAGAAGAAAAAAAATGAAAATGTCTTGAAATAAAGTTGTGAAAGTTGCAAAAGAAATGGGGTGTCAGGTATTCCATGAGAAGTGAATAATAGGGTGAATTTTGAGCATGAGTGAAAATGTTGAAGAAAAGGAAAGAAAGTGTTGTTCATACCACACTTCATGAGGATAGCAGCCACTGAGCCTAAACGACCATACCTTTACACTCAGCCCCGTTACAAGCCTTGAAAAGACCTTTTTGATCTTGAGTGAGCTAAAACGAATGTTGGTTGGAAAATAAGGGCAAACCTATGGGTGAAGTCATGCATGTGTTCATCTTTGTGAGTGTGAGAGTTGTATGTAATTCTGAATTTTTTAATTGGTGAAGAATAGTGTGTAAATATGGAATCATCCTTTGTGCGAGGGCATTTGAGTACCTTTGTTGAGCTTGAACTAGGAACCTGAGAATCTTTGGTAATGGTGAGCCACAACTTGAACCTTTGATTGCACAATTAATCCTTGCATGAGTAAGTTGAGTCTTGTTGTTTGCATTCATTATTGAGTTTTCTATAGCACAGTTTGAGACATCCTTTTTGAACTGCTGAACTTGAGTTTTACTTGAGGACAAGCAAAAGTTTAATTAGGGGTGTTGATGAGTCTGAGATTTGGACTCATTTAGGGCTTTGTTTGCATAGATTTAAGGCCCTCAAATGCTCCATTTATGCTAATGACTAATGTAAGCCCTTGATTTTCAGATATATGGGTTGAGGAATGAAGCTAGGATAAAATGGTCAACAAATACAACGCAAGTCGAAAAAGAGAAGAGGAAAAACACAAATGATGGTCGCCGAGATCACTCGGTGAATCACCAAGTTTATCCTATATAGCCTAAATTTACAGAACTCTGAGATTGGATTAGGAGTAACTTCGGCGAGTAGTTCCACTCGAAGTGTCACTGATCGCATCAGCGAAGGATGACCACATCACCAAAAATACTGATGGAGAACCAGATAAGTGCTGATAGGCGAGTTAAAAGGGCAAAAAGGTGCATCGCGGAATGAAACGACGATCCTGATCTGGCTCGCCTAAATTACACTGGTTAGACTAAGAAGATGTGAAGAATGAAGGTGAGACGAAGGTCGATCAATGAGTCATCGAACAGTCGGCGAAGCCCGACTAACCTTGCCGATTGGTCCCAAAAATCCACATACCAAAATCGTATAAATTGATATTTGTAAGAGAGAGAAAGTATTCAGAAGTTGTGAGGAACAAAAGATAGAGAGCAAAAACATTACTATCATTGATTTCAAGTGATTTTAGCAAGTTTTTTCATTTGGGTTTTGTATTAGAGAAGATATTATTCAATTTTGACTTTTGAATTTCATTTACCCAGCTATGGAAAATGTGGCAGGTATTGAATTTCATCTTTTTGCTATGATTGGCTAAAACTCTAACCTTGGGGGTTTGACAATGTGACCAATTGTTGCATTTGACTAAATGGGTGACATCAATTAGAAAATTTTGGTGTTAATTTGAAGTGGGTCTAAATTATTACTGTGGTTTAACTTCATTATTCCATGTTTAATGCAATATAGTTCAGAGTTTTGTGCTTGCTCGAGAGAGAAGTATAGAGCCAACGTAGTAATTCGGCATCCTTAGTAGTAGGTCATTACTATTTTAGCTTGAGAAAGTAAAACTTGAGATTCAGCCTTTGTATCTTGCTCAAAAGAGTTGATTTGATGAGAAAGTGAACTAGGCGTCTTATGGATAGTGTTGAAGTTCGAGAGAATTCAACGAAAATAAGGTAATTGTTCGAGAGAAAATTGCTTTACTTATAATTCATTCTACCCACAACGAATTAATATTGTTGGTAATGATGTACACCCGTTAAGTTAAATTCGACAATTGGTTAGTCAACTCCCCAAGTGTTATCTCGTTATTTGATTGTTCCTTGTTGATTGTTGAAGTGGGTTGGTAACGACATATTGAAGTTTGACTTATAAAATTGTCAAGTATGGTGATTGTTCGACTGCAAAGGTCTCGGTCATGTTTTCATATTCGAATTCAAAGAAAGCTACTCTCTGTGGGATCGACCCCAACTCATTCAGTTAGGTTTATACTGATTTACGATCGTCGACACTTGGAACCGGATGAAGTGACTTTGAAACGTTAATCAACTGACACCTAAGCTTACTGCTATATAGGGAGTTACAAAAGACAAAGTAGCTCTTGTTGTCTTTCCACTGAGTGAACTATATGTGAGCCACATCCTTAAGCTGGTAGGATGCCAATCCAACCCTATCATTATCAGTCACTTACATCACTCCAAAGATTTTCTTTACCTCATCAATGAAGTTCTGGGAATCTTCACCAACTTACAACCCTAGAAACACAGGTGGGTTCATCCTAAAAAAATCACGGACCCTATCTGCCACTGATCCACCACTAGCATTTGCAGGAACTGGAACCTGCTAATTGTTTTGGTTAGCTACACTCTAGGGCAAAAGTTAAATGGTGTTCCGAAACTATGCATTTGAAACTTCATGATCTGGGACTGGAGGAACTACGTCAGCATTGTGTGCATTAGCATTCCTTGGGTAAGCTCTACGAGGAGGCATGATCTGAAAATGCATAACATCGAATTAGAAAGAAGATCACACTCACACACGATAAGAATAACAAGAAAGTGAAGTTTTTCCTAAAACACTTCATAGCCTCCCCCCCATAGGTGTGGTGCGCTTCATACTCATTAAAATGACTCTACTTAGTGTGGCTTTTCAGACATCCTAGGAATCTTGAACCTAGTGGTCTGATACCAAGTTTGTCACACTCCGAGGCTACCCCTGGACGTAAACAAAAGTGACCCCAAGTTAACCCTAAGCTGGCATACCATAATCATACTAAAAGATTACTGAATAAATATATTATGCGGAAGCTTAAACAATGATAACTAAAAGTGGGGAATACCCAATACTGATCTGAATATATAAAAGACTATGATCAGTTTAATAACAACTGGAGGATCAAACTCAAAACTAAAACTGAATCTAGTACTCTGTCTGAAAAAACCTCTAACTGACTAAAGTTGTTGGGACATCCCCCCAGCTAACTCTAGCAAAACTAAAAACTGAATAAAAAGACTAAAGTGTAAAGCATGTCTATTGTCCTTGAAGTATGAGGACTCACCAATGAAGCTGCTAAAATGGAGATCGGGAACCGATCTATACATGATCTGGATGTTGGGAACCTGAACATACATCATGAAAAGATGTAGCGCAGAGTATGTGTCAGTACTTGAAAGGTACTGAGTATGCAGGATAGGATAAAGCTGAAAAATATATACATAACTGAACAAGCAATAAGAGCAATGACATAATATGAATATGAGGTAAATACTGAAATATACTGAATACTAAACTAACTGAATGCAATGACCAAGTACATGACATACTAAGACTGAATACTGAACTGTAACTGATAACCTTGTCAATGCACTAGAATCTGACTGTGGGAACTACTGTTAACCGACCTAAAACCACGAGAGCTATCTGTGGAGTCCGATGTATCGCCCCATTGAGAGGATCCAATATACCTTGCCAGGGGTATAAAAGAATGACTGGCGTGATCACTAAATATATTGCCCACAAAGGGGACTTATCCTATGAGGGCATGTAGTTCTAGGACTATGAGGGTGATCGACCTTTAGTCCACTCGGTATTAAGCCTACTCCCAACTGATTATGTAAGTAACACATTATAACTGAATTTCGGTAATACTAAATAGCTCAAAATATTGACATGTTAACTGAAAATGCAACATTAATATACTGATAATGAAACAATCTTATCTGGGGCATGTATATCTGAATAAACTGACCTAGAAAATGTATTTCATGAACTAAATAAATCTACCCAACTATGGTCCTGAGTTTCATGCAAGAACTAGGC